ATAATAAATTTAAAATAAAATATAATAATTATTTTAAGACAAAATATGCAAAAATAATCTTTCGATGTTAGGAAATATAAAAGCTTGATAAAAAAAACATTCATGAGCAAGGCAGTCCCTATGTGAACAAAAAAAAAAAGTGGTGATATAAAAATAATTTTTTATATAAATTTTTTATGAAAAGCAAAAAAACAGGACTTTTTGGCAAAATAATTGCCAGGACCTACTTCATTAAACGGTGCATTTTACTATTTATTTGCCCTTTCTCTATCAACAATAAACGGTTGAATTCAAAAAATCATCTACTAACTTTCAGTTTAATTTTAATTTCATCTATTATCTTTGAATTGTTTCAATTCTGTCTATTATCTTTCATATTTATTTCAATTCCATCTAGGCAGTTAAAGTTAATAGAAATCCTAACGAAAAATCTTCTTAAACCTTAGTACTCTAATTATGTTTCTTTTAATTTTTCAGTCCTTAAATTTATATTCACAATAAAAATAGTTTTTATTCTTATTTTGCTAAATGTGTTTTTCAGAAAATTGTTTTACAGAACAAACTGCTTTCAGTCCACCCTATAAAATTATTTAAATACCCTTAATTCTATTTTTATATTATTTTTGTGTGAACATTTAAATAATTTTATAAGACAGATTGTATACAGTCTATCCTATAAAACAGACATACTCTTAAAATTTCTTATTCTGAACTTACTGAATTTCTCTGTCTAAATTACAATCTATCTCTATAAACTATTTTTTGATTCATCATATTTTATTAGGATTTAAGTGTTACTTTTTTAAAACTCAAAGGACTGCTCTTTCTTCAAATCTAACCGCAACCTAACGTACTTTTTGTACGGTAGACTAATTTGAAATATTTTTCAAAGTTTCTAGATCATTTAAAAATGAAACAAACTTTCTAGACTAAACTGAAATTAAACTGAAAGTTAATAGATGATTTTTTGAATTAAGCCAATAGTAAACCCTTCTCATCTTAACCCAACACAGAGACCCAAAATCCTCTTTTCACCTGCTAATCGAAAATGTCAGGACTACAATACCAAAATCCTTCTCCACCTCACTCAATCCATAAACAAGGGTCTGATCAAATCTTTCTCCATGTCCATTAACTATCCTGCAAATTTTCTTTTTCAAAATTCTTTGAAAAATATAAATTTTTATTTTCGTTTCCATTTCAAGTGGGGGCTTGTGAACGGGCCAGAGACTTTGGCATGATCAATTCACCAACCCCTTCAGAAGCCCCTACCTCATTTCTCACACTTTGATCCCAGTTTACATTTCTCTCTTTTCTCCAAAATCCCTTGGGTACCCACTTGATTTCCATTAGTGGGCACTTCTTTTCTTGATTTATAGCTTCAAATATCAAACAAAGGCATAAGGGTGGTCCAGGTATTTAGTGGTTTGAAATTATTTTTTATTTAGTTGCACTTTGTTAGGTGAAGAAATGGTGGCACCTCTATCTGATCTGTGGTGGGTTCATCGGCGAGTTTCTTGCAAAAATAAAACACACTGTGTTGTGATTGCTGTCCAAGATATTAAGAAGGCAAGAAGGGTTTGCAGTGTTGGAACTTGAAAGAGAAGGGTAAATAGGATGCCCCCAGTAAAACGCACTGTTCTATTAAGTATGTCCTGGCAATTTTTTGGCCAGGGAGTCCTATTTTTCCATATATATATATACATATATTTTATATATATAATTTTTTTATATTATTAAATAAATAAATATATTTAATATTATGTATTTTAAATAAATTAAAAAATTAATTATTTAAATAATATATAAAATTATTCTAAAAAAGTGATATAAAGAAGTTGTCTCTTAAATTATATTTTAACAAAAAATTGTTAAACAAATGCTTTAACAGTGAACCGTTGGGCAATTAGCAATTAAAGAAAACGACAACATGAGCGACCTTCAATTAAGGACTGCATTGAACAGAACAAGTTGAGTTGAGGGCTGCATTTGGTACTGTCTGGCGAGTAGAGGGACGGCACTGAACAAAATCTTAGTAGGAGGATGGACTTGAACAAAAAATGAAAGTAGGGAGATTACAATTGGCTTTATCCCTTTAACTAATTAAATTAAAAATAAAATTTTCTTAACTAATTTTATCTCAACAAAAACTGACAACTTACTCTTTCTCTTAGCAAAATCATTCTGACCTTGATGGATAAAAAGTATTTTATATATTTTAATCTTCTAT